GCGCCGAGGTGCGGTGGGCTGCGAGACCGCAGCCGCGGGTAGCCTCGCCCCGGAGAGGAGCCAGGAGCTACACCGCTTCGTTCCTATGTCGGTGGGATTTACCGCTGTATTTCTCACGAATTAAATATTTCCTTAATTTTATATTTATTTTTTTTTTCTCCATAAAGAAATGGGAGATGCCCATAAGGCGCGGACGATTGCCGTCGGGGCGAGTGGCAGCGGTGAGCGGTCAGCTGCGCACCCCGGACACGGCCGAGCGCCGCTCCCCCGAGCCGGGGACAGCCGGGGGACAGCCCTGGGGGCTGTAGAACCTGCATGGAGCGGGACCTAAGCCACCGTCAGTGGCCGTTTTACAGGTTGCATTTAACTAGAAAATTAATCATCTAGCCGACGAATTGCTTATCGAGGATATTTGTGCTGGTGGTTTCAGGCTCGGTGTAAACTGCGTTTCCTGATGCTGGTGGCTTCAGTTGAGCGCATTTCTAACTTTTTAGTATTTTGGGCACTCTTTTTAAAGGCGTTGTTCGAAATTTTGTGTGTAACAGCTTCTCACATAGCTGTGTAGGTGGGGTATATTAAGTCTAAACGAGGGCTCAGTATTCTGAGGGCTAAGAAAACAAAGGGTGTCCAGTTCAGGGTAGGAGTAACTTTTTCGTTGCATAGTCTCGCTGAAGCCACAATTCTGGCGGTATAAATGTATGGCTGTTACCCTTTTGATCTTTGTCTTGCAAACTTTACTAAGGGGAGTCCTGGGCGTGTAGTGGAGCGGCTACTTTGAGAAGTTTTGTTCTGCGAGGGGCATTGTACCTTGTGCAGACGATCCCCTGCCGGCAGATAATTGACAAGGCGTTCGAGCTGCTGCTGCTGCTGCTGCTGCGAGAGAAGGCAGTGATATGAGACCGACCCATCAGTTTGGTGGTGTGTGCTCAGGGCTTCGTGATTCCGCATAAAATGTGTTTTAAAACCCTAAGCAGCTCTGGATTAAATTCTTCCCGGCTTTTTTGTTCTGTTAGTCAGAGCAGGTATATAAAACATCCTCAGAACTCAGTGGGAGTAAGTTTTTGTTAATTTAAACAGTTCCTCCTAGGCGGTGGTATGGCAGCCCAGAAATAGTTATTATGCCCAAATTACGTGTACTTTCTCTGCCTGGTGTGAACCATGGAAAAATAAATGTGAATCCCTTTGCTGTCTGCCTCGGGGAAGGGAGCACTAAGTGCAGTGCTCTCCGTGCAAAGTGTCCTCGTCAACACAGACTCTGTTGCTGCTCAGCTATTTCTGTCAGGTAGTAGTTGCTTCCTGCTAGCAGGCTCTGGTGATGGTCCTCCTGGGGGTATTCTCTTTCCTGTCTAATATTTGAAAGTAGCTTTGAAAGCCTTCCTAGCTAAACCTTATCTGTGTAGGAGTTACATGTAGAAAGTCTGTCTTTCCCCCTTTTGATATATTTCTGCAGTTAGCCCCTTGATGCTGGTGGAATTTTACAGGTCAAGGTTATTGGCTTGTGAAGTCAAAGTTACAGTGGTGTTTGCAATTCTGCACCTTCTGTATGGGATGTTTCTTACTGCAGGGGCTAATACTAACTTCTGTTAACAGAATTACACATCTGTATTAGGAGAAAGTGTGGCTGTTGAACATGAAAATGTAAGGAAGTCCTGTCCCAGATACCCAGGATAATTTCCAACAAGAAAAGCTCATGATCCCGGTCTGTAATCTGGAACAGATTTCCAGGGTTCAAGTAAAGATGCAAATCAGGCACGTGACAAATAGCAGGGTAGGTAGCTCCAGCAGAGCCATATATACTCCCCACGCAGTTATGGCATGGGTGGACAGATGTGTTCAATTGATCTGCTTGTTCAGATGAGGCAGAAGGGGCTATCTGTAAGCAATGAATATGGTTTGTTTGCACCCATGTCCAGACTGTGTAGTGCCTATAGGCTTGGCCAGTGCCTGCTAGACTTTGGACCATTATCAGGATTGGGAAAGAACTGCTTCTCCAGACCTGCCCAGCTATCTTCAGTGTGTGTGATACAGTCTGAAATGCTTGCAGGATGGTACCCTACATTTGCCACGCTTTTTCCATAATAGTTCTCTCTGTACAGCGTGTACTGTAGGCTGGAATTTCCTTGAAGGATAACGTTTCCAGCAAAGAGCCAGCTGGGAACCTAACAAGCGTGGATAGAGCAGCAGATTGCAGGTACAAGCTCTCATGAAGAGCTGCTTTATATTGATAAGAGGCACAACAGAACTCTGCAAGCAGACTAACTTCTTAACCCAGCAGCTTTCTGTCAGCAGAGAGGAAGGCAGTGACTGCACTTTGTACAATGTGCTTGTCCCAAGAGCAGCTGTGTTGGGAGAGTGTAGTCAGCTGTAACATGTCTTCATCTGGCTTTGGTGGAGGAAGATGTGTATGTGACCAGCATTTCATAGGCGTGTTCGTGTGTGCTTGGACACAAAAAGGGGTTGGGTTTTGATAGCTTTATATACTTGTAGCTTGACTGTGTGAAGGGCCTAGAGAGTAAGCCATGTGAGGAGTAGCTGAGGGAGCTGGGTTTGTGCAGCGTGGAGAAAAGGGGACTCAGGGGGGACCTTCTGCAACTGCCTGAAAGGAGGTTGTAGCCAGGTGAGGGTCAGCCTCTTCCAGGCAGCCAGTAATGACAGGACAAGAGGAAATGGACTAAGGCTGGGCCAGGGGAGGTTCAGGTTGACATTCGGAAGAACAGAAAGGATTGTCAAGTACTGAAATGGGCTGCTGCAGGAGCCATCCCTGGAGGTATTCAAGAAACAGCTGGATCTGGCAGTTAGCTAACACCAGTTAGTTACGGTGGTATTTGATTGAAAACTGTACTCAGTGGCCTTGGAGGTCTTTTCCAACCTTAACAGTTCTATGATCAGCACTGCTCTACAGTACAGAGAGGTAAATGAGCTTTGAATCTGTGTTGTTCGTTGTTGCCGGTATCAATTGTGCTGAAAACCACAGAGCATGTCCTATGTCTTGTCTTTTGTTCCTAGGTTGCACTAAGAAGACAGCAAGCTCAGGAAGAAGAACTGGGAATCAGCCACCCTGTGCCCCTGCCCAGTGTCCCTGAGACGTTTGTTAAGAAGAACAGTGGTGGCAGCTCTTGCCTCTCACTGGAAAGCAGCAGCCCAATGCACTCGACAAGTACAGCCATGACAGCAGCTAGTACACCACCAGGTAGAGTGCTGGGGGCACTGGCAAACACTGCTTGTGCCTGCTGTTGACACCTGTTCTCATCTTTGCAGTGACAGAGTCCTCTCCCCAGCAGTTGTACTTTTGGTACAGTTAGCGGAAGGGAAAGATCCAGTACCAGTCTTTAATATTTTATTTGATTATTTTTACTTGAAAATCAAAATTTCTTTTACACACACCGGTGCTGTAATAAAATTTGATAAGGGTATGTGACTGTAAGTAGAGAATTATGGGAAGCTTTTGTTCTTTGTCCCAAAACATGTAGTCCTGCCACAGAAATAGTAAGTGGGTTTTGGCTATGTGTGTAGCTTCTTCAAAATTTGAGAGTTGTCATATATGTATAGAAGCTAAGTACATGGGTGATGCTATTGACCCCAGCAGCAGAGCTGCTAGCCTTACATGTTTTGATGTGGTGGCACATTGTTTCTGTGTGACATGGTGTGATAAACTACAAAAGAGTAATGTGATCCTTCTCTTTTGCTGAAACTTACTGTATTGGATTTAACATTTGCAAAAGAAAACCCAAAAAAACCAACAACAATGAACAGTATTTGTCTGTATATTCAGTGAAACCATGGCTAAACAAAGGTGGGACTTGAAGATGCTAGGCAAGTGAAGACTCTAGGCAAAATGCAGATTGCTTTTTCCCTTTCCTAACTGTGTCTGACAGATACAGTGATTGAACATACATAAGAAAGAAGAAAGGAGCTGGTGTAATTGATTATTTGTGTATAGACAGAAAAAAGCAAACAAATACAGATAAAAGGAAAAGGAAATTTAATTCATTTTGAATCATCTATACACATGCCAGTAATACAGGTGAATATACTTGCCAGATATATGATTCTAAAGTGAGCAGTGCCTTGCATTAATTAATAAAAGGACAGTGCATGTGTGTGTGTCTGTCAAGTGATGCTATTCTGTTTTGCAGGCCATTAAAAGTATGTCAGATGGATTTGTTGGATCTAGTGCAGACAGGCAGTTTCAGACCACTGTGGAGGAATTTTGTTGAGAAGCTTTTAAAAGAACTGCTTAATAAAGCAATAAATAGCTTTTTATTAGTTTTTTTGTTTTCATTATGTTAGTGTCACCTTTGAATTGATGCAGTTACTCCTTTCATATTTGCATTACTGCAAATATTGCTTTGTCTGTAGACATGGAAAAAGCTGGCTAAAGATTAAAGTAGTATATTTAGTAATATATAGAGACTGTGTGTAACTCAGGAGAACAAGAAGATCCCTGCTTATACAGGAAAGCCAAAGAATGGAATCACTTTACTGTCAAACTGGCATGACAGTATTTAATTTATTAATCCCATTTTAATAATTGCTAATTTATTGAATTAAATTATGGTGTTGTAATAAAAAACATTGATAAAACAAGTTTAAGGCAGTTCACATGCTTAATTAAGTACTTGAAAACATAAAAATGCCTAATTTTAAAGTAATTTGAATTGTTTGACTATTTTTGGTCAGAGCAGTCATCTTTCTTACAATGGAATTTGAGCATTTTAAATACATTGTTTCTCAGTCATTTTACTAAATAAGTAACTGTTATTATTTGTGTCCGAATAAATAACTGTTTGTGAGTGACAACATTTGAAATACACAGCTTCATCTGCAGAAAGATGTGATTGCAGTCAAGAGTCAAGACAGGGTCAGCCTTGTTCACCAGAAATGGAAACATCTGCAAATGAATAGGAAATCAGGTTCATAGTTTTGATTTTGGGCACCTAAGTAGCAACAGACATTTGTGTTTAGCTCAGAGGTGACTACACTGTATAAGTAACATCCCTAATAATTGTGGTAGGTTTGTCTGCTGAAAGCAGTCTAAGTACTCATGGGTTTTGACTTGATACCAGTGACTGTGTGCTGACTGAATCTGGAGAAGGTACTCTGCATTTATCCAGACCTATAGTGTAGCTTTGTCAGGTATCTGAGCACAGGCTTTGGTAAGGAATATAGTCTAAATATCCTCATGCTTTTCTTCTTAGCATATAACGATCTTTTTTTCAGATGAGAATTGTCATGTGGCATAAGCTCTGTTCTGGCTTTAGATTTTGGGTTGTTTCAGGACCACGTACTTGAGGGATTCTTGTATTTCTGGTTTATGATTTTAAAACTACCCTAATCTGTGAGCAAAATGAGACACCCCATTGGGACAAGTGTCATTTTCTCAGGTTGGTAGGCTGAGGTGCTGATTTTTCAAGAACTTACAGTAATTATTAAAGCAAGCAGAGAAAGTGAAACCCTTCATGACAAGGGGAGTTAGCAGTTCCCTGCAGGCCCCAGGGAAAGTGGTGGCTCCTAGGTGTGCAGCATGTCCTGTGTATGATTCACATTAGATTGGGCAAGAGGTGATTTTGACAGCGGTAAGTCTGTTCCAAGTTAGTTTTTGGCTTATGAGAGCAGTTTTTGTTTTGGACTCCCATCACATGGAGCCTTGTTTGCCAGCAGAGGAGTGATATGTGGAGTCACACAAATCAGAAGAATGCCAGAGAGAGAGTCATGGCTTGCTGTATCCATTTTATTAGCAGATCAGAAATAGTATGACCCCTGGAGACCAGAGGCAGTTTTTCAGATTGTGACATGCTGTTTTTGAAAAGGGAAAAAATGAATTATCATGGTCATAGGTGTTTGAACATCAACCATGTCAAGCATGTTTATTTTGGATGTAGTATATGTTCCCACTCAAAAGCAACCTGGGAATTTGCATGGTAGTTGGAATGGAACAGACCATGGTCTCAGGACATTAGTAGAGTGTCTTACAGACTGAATTTGCTGTTTCTGTGCATTTCCCCTTAAAAAGTTGTAGATTGTGAAAGAAAAGGCCGTTTAATTGTACAGAGCAGCGAAAGTTGTTATCCCTGGGCATTTGATGTAATTGTCCTTCCTTCTGTAGTATAGGTATATCTTAATAGGTTAACAGATATGCAAAGTTTAGGAAAGATTATGTTGAAACATGTAGAATGGGTTTTACAGACATTCTCATTTTATAACACCTGTGTTCTTCACTGTTTTTTGTCAGTTCAGAGCCTCTGTCATTTTGTCAAGTGATGTCACAGGGGGCCAGAGAGGGGAGGCAAATGGGGTCACTGAACACTCTAGAGTTAGAAAAAAAGAGCGCTACTCACAATGAAAGGAGGAGAATGCATTTCACCTTTGCTTCATTATATTTCATCCTTGTCACAATCTAAGGGTCATATTTGGCCTGTGGAGTAGGTGCAAGATACACCACCAGATAAATGCAAGGTGCTGGAAAGCTTCTTTCTGCTGCTCTGTTCTGTTGCTGGCCCAGTTCAGAAGTGTCAGTATAGATGGGATTACTGTGTGATGCAAAATGCCAGTTCCTGGTCCTATGTTCTGTTGTGGTCGTTTCCCTCTCTTTGCAGTGTTCAGGTGCCTTCCTAGTGTCACTGGTTGACAAACATAATTTTCAACAATTGTGAATAGTAAGCTTGTATTTATTATTTCCCTTTGTTACATTTATTATATTTGACAGAAATAAAATAGTATTCTTCTCTTCTCTAAGTAGGTGCTGCCTTCACTCTGAAACTCTTTGACAAATAGAAGAGTCTTTTCTGCTCATAAATATAGACCATAGTGGGGTTAGCAGTAGTACAGTACCTAACGTGTGATGATACTGAGATCCCTTTGAACTTGCAGTGCCCTAGCTGTCTGCAAAAACCCTACCATGCCTTCTTTACTTTTCATTTACTTTCCTGATCACTGCATTGCGATTTCAAAAATTAGTGCCATGATCTTACAGCTGCATAGTGTGATGAATAGTGATCTTAGGCTGCATAGGTGATGAATTAAAAAAAAAAATTAGTTGTTATAATTGAAAGATATCATAGCCTGATTTAAAAAAAAGTGAGAAATTTTCTTTTTGAAAGAAAGCTCTTTAGCAGTATTTATAGTGTAAGGTCATGTGCTGTCAGAATTTCAGTTTCATTTAAAAAAAGGCCTCATTTTAGTCAACTGATCGTGTGAGAAAGCTGCTGTGGCCATTTCACTGTGAGAGTGCTTAGGGGTTGAAACAGGTTATCCAGAGAGGTTCAGGAGCCTCTATGCTTGGGGATGCTCAAAACTTGTCTGGATGATGTATACACAAAATGATCCAACTGGGAAGCTGGCTCTGGTTTGAGTAAAGTTTGAGCCAACTGTTCTCCAAAGATCCTTTCCAAACTAGACTATTCTGTGAATCTCTGAAACTTCTACTTGCTTGTGTTGACATTAAGTCAACAATACTTAAATTTGAAGTTCATCCAGCCTCAATACTGATAAGCATTTGCAAGCCTGTGAAAGAAATCTTAACTCTTTTGACCTAGTAATGCTCAGTAGTGGATTTTTTTTTTTTTTTTTAAAAAAAAAAAGAGTTAGCATTGTGGGGATTGACAGTTGGTGGATGGGATTGATAGTTTCAGGTGGCAGCAGCCTCAACAAGGCTGAGCAGTAAGCAGGCAGCATTGGCTGCTTTGGCTGCCTGTGCCAGGATGAACATGATGACTGCATGCACTCAGAGATCTTGGTGGGTTTGCAGTGGTCACCAGTCCATCCTGCTCTTCGCTTTTCTCTTGGTCTCCTCACTTAGTTTCTAGGGATGATTTTCTCCTGCTGCACCCGTGGCTGCTTCTTTACCTGTTTCAGTTGCTGTCTGCCTCCTGGTCCAGCCAACCTCCTTCCATTGCTTCCTAGTGCTTTCCCCTGGCTTCTCCCGGAGTCAACAAACCTCTGTTCAAAAGTGAGTACAGTTAAACATCACCTGTCTTTACTGGATTGTAAAAGCTAGCAAAGAGAGAAGTTTTGTGTCCTTCACCTGTCAGTAACTAGTCCATCATCATCACCACCATCTGGTTTTCTCCAGTTCATTGCAGTTGAGAGAAAAAGAATCGCGTTTGCATGTGTCTCTTGTAAGAGTTTGTTAGAGTTAGTTAATTTTCTTAGTTAGTAAATGTCTTTCAAGCTCTTTCAAGATTTACTAGA